CTTGACGGATTTTACCGGGCTTATCAAGCCGTCGTACCGGGCTGGGTAAGAAGAGGAAAGAAAGAGAGAGGGAGAGGGAAGAAAAGAGAAGAAGGGGAAAAGAAAAAGAGAAGAGAGATATAAAGAAATAAGAAGATATCATATGATCAGATATTAAAACACCCTGCACCCCACGTCTCCACTTCAAAATATATCCACAGAGTTAGAACGAAATAGTTGTTCTATTACAATAAAATACGTGTGTGATGTAAATGAGATACACAGGTTTTGTAGCGTATTTGTTCTAAGCCACCAGATATTCTCCGAATCCGTTGGTCCATCTCATTCCCAGGCAAGCACATCGAGGTTGAACACAATAGTCCCAACTCAAAGAGAAAGAAAATTTAAGATAGATCGTTTTACCATAAAAACATAGAGTAATAATTCTTTGCATGTGTATTAATGGTGAAAGAATGTGTTTGTAGTATATAAAACCATAATGAAAATGCTTATGTAGGCCTACATTATTATATGTTCCGTTCAGATATGTCGTATTGTTTTCTATATTGAAGAGGGGGAGGGTGTCACACCGGGTCATAAATTACTAACAGGGAAAAGTATTACCTTTCCCCCTGACCCAAGACCCCTGTTACGCTCTGGTAGGCCCTTGGTTTGGTCCCTCGTCGGACATTGTTCCTCTGTCGGCAAATTTCTGGAACCACCACTGGTTCGACTTGGAGGGTGGTCAGTATGATATGGTTTGGACAGGCCTATGACAGTTTTTGTGTTTTCAGCTCATTATAATAAGATTCTACAGTCGATTAAGTAATTCTCTGTACTCCCTACATTAAAGGAGCTTCTGGGCTTTTCCCCGGACCCCTCGAATGAGTAGGCATAAAACAATTGTGATTTAATTAGTGAGTGATATGAGGTGTAATTTTCTCAGCTCAGCAAAGCACACTACGTATTGATGATTAAAATATTATATAGGCCTTATACCTAAATATGAACTACGTAAATTAAATCACAAGCAAAGAGAGATAAGACCAAGATTTTCAGTCATTGTGCATATTTTAATTTTAATTAAAAACCCTAGCTATTAGACTTTAAGCGCCAACTATAAATCCACTAAACTAAACTATGCGATCATATACAAAGATTTTTTAGGCCAATGGGCCTATTTCTACAAGCAAACGTACGATATGTAAAATGCTGACTATTTAATACTCTACAAACAGTAGTAATATAAATATTACATTTGTCTCATTTGACTTCATACATTATTAAAAAAGGTTACAGATAGAAGAAACCAAAGCACTTCTATGTATGAGGGGGAAGCATGCCCTCTCAAACAAGTAATCTAATCTGGTCTATCCTATTGTTGATTTGGGAACTGTCAATTAGAAAATATTAAACCTAATTTATTACTTACTGTACAGGCCATCATTTCAAAATATACGGTACCTTGTAAACCTAAAACATATTGGAATGCCTCACAACGCTGTACATGATCATTTATAACACTATCAGATCGTGAAGAATGTTCTTTAAGTCTATTTATTAACCCGAAGAAACATACATAAAAATAAACTACACCAGTAACATACTACTTACTACATTACTACTTATTATATTTTTTCAAAATATACTTCTTTCTGTGCATTTCAAAGACAAAGTAAAACAAACATAAAATGTGTTTTAATCTATAATGGTATGTGGAGGGCATCGTTTGCTTTTAAGTCCGTAGTTGTCTTTAGTGTTACATATATACATATATATATATGTTTATATACATATACATCTGAAAAATCTGATAATGATTACTTTATATTAATTTAAGTATCATTAATTAATTATTATGTATCCTTATGTCTATTTTCAGATCTTATAAGGTGGTATTTATTAAAAAAAATTATACCAAAACAATTTAACAAATATTATGTTGTATTAAATGAAGTATTATTTATTAATTGTATTTAATTAATTAAATAGATCTTGCCTAATTAACTGATTCAAGGTAGAATCATGAGTAAATAATTTTCAAATATTGTTCAATTTGGTAGTTATTAGTAATGCAAAAATCTGATAATGATTATGTTGATAGCAATTAATCATTAAATAATTATAATTAAATAAATACAAACTAATTACGGTACTGCATAAATAATTTACTATAGTATATTTACTGTGTATGTCTCATCGTCCAATTATTATAAAGTGTTATCTATATAGATAGTCCTATTGAACTATAATTATATGTTGGTTTATGTTTTTGAAATAGATTTTATAAGAAAAATGCTGTGTAGTGCTGTAAAGCCTATGATATTTATGTCTATGTTCAGACCTTGGTGGTATTTATTTAACAAAATAAATGATACTAAAACAACCTAATTAACATTTCTTATTATGTTATTTATCTTATTATTTATTAATTATATATAATTAATTAAATACAGCCTAATTAACTGATTTATTTGGTTGTATTTTTATTATTATTATTATTAAATGTACTATATATTACTTAATTCAACAATTTTCAGAATTTAGTATAATATTTCATTTCACCAAAGAAAACATTAACTGAACACCAATTAATACAATTCAATAAGGAAACAATCAAATTCCATTACAATTTTAGTATCATGCTTAAATAAATACAATAAACAGAAATGACGATGCTCTTTGATATAGTATAAATACAACCTAATAAATTAGTCCTGTTAATGCAATAAAGAAATAAGTGAACTTATTATTTTGTATTTTATTGTTATTAAATGTACTATATAACACTTAATACAACGAACTTATTTATTGGGTTGCATTTACTATTAAAGATTCATATAGTACATTAAATTAAATAAATACAGCCTAATAGGTCTAATTATTAGATTGTATTTACTTAAATAAATACAACCTAACCAGGTTGTATTTATTTAAGTAAGTGTATGATAAAGAAATACAACAAAAATGATGATGCTCTTTGAGTAAATTTAGTATTAAAATAAATACCAACCTAATAAATTATGAATAGTTAATGCAATAATGAAATACACGAAATTATTATTATTAATAGTATTATCATTATTATTATTTAGTTGTATTTGTTATTAATGTACTGTATATTACTTAATACATTTACTTAAATAAATACAGGTATTATTGGATTGTATTTACTTAAATACATAAAACCTAACCAGATTTTATTTAAGTAAATGTACTATAATACCTACAAATACAGCAAACAGAAATGATGATGCTCTATGGTAAATTTAGATAAATTTATACAACTTAATAAAAATAATTAAGCCTAGTGTACAATGAAGAAATAACTGATACTTTGCTAATTATACTATGAACACCACCATATGAGTAGGATTAACTGGGTATGTGATAGCTCCTGCCTATGCCAACCCCTATTCTGAAATGGATTATTCCTTTGTTAATGGTATTTCTTCCTACTGACATTATTTCTGATTTCTGTTATTAAGCATCTATCTGTCTTACCAATATAATCACTATTACAACCTGGACATTTAAAAGAACAGAACTTCAACTTTAGTAGATATATAATGAGAAACATTCTTGATTTTTGTAACCGTAACTTAAATTGTGATGCTAAACGTATTAATGCTTTAATCCTACCCAATAAATATGAAAATCTTAGACCTAATAAAAGAAATGGTGTTGCGATAATGAAGAAATCTTCTCTAATTGTTTTTAAAAATCTAGCTGTTCATTAACCACGCAGCTTAACTTCTTACAAGGCTACCTCCGGACATTGTTAAATACAATACAATTAGGTTTTGAATTGAAATTTATAGGAGTTTCCTTTTTCATGTCATTCTTTATCGCAACAACATGAAAGGCCGCAAAACCAAACAGCAATGATTAGTATTCAGCTCACTTCCCATACCGCACTTCCATAAATATTGAGTGAGTAACTTTGTGTTAACTTAGTATTAGGTCAATTAGAGACCAGCGATGTCAATTAATTTTAATATCATTTAGTTTCTGTATTATAAAGCAGAGAAATTGAATGAAGAAAGAAGAAGAAAGATATTCTTGATCCTACGTTGCCGCATCTAACAGTTTATTCAATTCTTTGATTCGTGGGTGATTTTCTTCATATACCGTCCGAAGAACTGAAAAAGCTTGCCTGATATAACCCTGTGCTTTTTTTGTATCTTTAAGCTTTCTGAACACATTGCCTAAATGTTTTAATGTTTCACTGATACCTACAACTTGAGATCCCTGTTTGCTTAACTCCTTAAATATTTCTAAGGCTTTCTCGTGTTTAAGTTTAGCCATTTGTAGGTCTCCAAGCTCACTGTATATCAGACCTATCCCATTTAATGTATTTCCTACCTCTGAACTCTTTTCTCCGAGGGATCTTTGGAAAATCTCGAGACATCTCTCACCGTTCGATAATGCGTCTTTTAAATGATGCATTTCTCTTTGTGTATTGGACAGATCGTGCAAAACTTCACCAACTTGATAGTGTGCTGGCCCATAATATTGTTCTCGTATTTTAAGGGATCGCTCTAATGTTTTCAGGGATTGTTGCAGATCTCCTTTTGCACGGTACGTAAAACCTAGGATATATAATGTTTCGCCAACATTTGGGTGGATATCACCGTGGATTTCTTCGTGGATGCTTAAAGCCTCTAAGAGTGCATGAATACTGTCATTATACTGTCCAAGTGAATAGTAATTTGTCGCTAAAGTATTTAAAACTCGTGCAACTCTTTGATCATGAACACCATACGCTTCTTTAGTAATATCTAATGCTTCTTGATACATCATCTTAGCTTTCTTTAGTTCACCCTGCCTATTATATACCAGTGCAAGGTTTAAAAGAAAGGCCCCTAGGCGTGGATGTTTGTCAGAGTAGATTTGTCTTGCAAGTTCTACAGCTTGTTCGTGGTATTGTTGAGCTATGTCAAGTTGTTTTCTGTATCTGTGGACAACTCCCAGTAAATGCAAAGAGACAGCAATCATTGGTGAAGAGATATACTTCTGTGAAATATTGAGAGCAAGTTCATGTAATTTTTGAGCTTTCGACATTATCTGGCCAACACCTCTGTAAACTGTTCCCATCATATTGAGTAAAAGAGTGGTATTTACTACTGAAGTTTGTTGTACGTTCTTGAAAGAACTCGTAGCAAAATCTTCAACCAGTTCCACGATTTTCTCAAGGTCTCTAGGCCGTTGGTTTCCTGTGTAATATATATAAAGAACGGAAAAAAATGCTCCAAGCTCTGGCTTTCCTTCTGAGAAACTTTCTTTCGTCATATTTACCAAGAACGTGACTTCTGGCATAACGACTGTAGATTTATGCTTATTTGGCCAATAGAGGTAGGGTTCTGCCATGGAGTTAAGAAATTTCCAACAAAATTCCTTGGTTATAATTTGAGAATATGCAAGGTTTAACCGGACAGAATGCGACACCAAAGACATTAAAACATCCACAAGTTTAAAGTTTAGCGTTGTATACTCTGTCATTTGGTTTAACGAAGCCTCTGGCTTGTCATCTAATACTTTGGATATCACTTTAAGAATCCTTTGAAAAGAATTTTCAATAAAGCGATTTCCTTGAGTTGTGTTGTCGTTAAGCCCTTTCGGTGTACAAACTATACGAGATGCTTCTCTGGTGACTTGATGCGAAAGAATGAACGTATGCCCTGATCGAGTCTGCAGTTCATAAATTGATGATCGATAAATTAACTCCTTAACGCTGTATTCTGTATAATCGTGAAGGGCTGAGTTCATTCTTGTATATTGCAAAAAAAGTTGCATGGATATCGTCTGCGAGTCACAGTACCCCACGAAGCAAGCGAGATCTTTGTATAAGTCCCTATTGCTTCTGTTAACTAGCTGGTTAATTGTTTTTATTGACGTTGTCAACATAGATAAGTTGTAAGGTAAGCCTTCATATTTTGCCTCATTCCATAAAAAATCAATATCAGACCTGTACGCTTCTAAATCCAGTTTAAATTTTTGCAGGTAATGAAAATAAGACTCGTTTCCGTGGAGAGTTCTTTCTGTTTTAATATAAATTGCTGCGTTTGCTAATGAAAAAGGCAAGCCACCCAATTCTTTTGCTAGATAACTTGCGTTTTTGTCATCATTATGGATCTTAGTGATAGTGTTTAACAATTTAACAGAATCATTAGGAGGCATACCATCAAATAAATTCATGTAGTGAGTTTTTGATAACTCGTAGATGGGTCGGTGTTGAGTAGTTACAACAACTCTTATCTCACCATAATCGTCATTACCAGGATGTAGTAGACACTTTCCGTAGCTTCGATTTTTATAAAGAAATCTGTACATTGCTCTTTTGACATTGTCAATTATTAATACTGGTCTACGCGATCGTTTTTTTAAAGCCTGTTTAAGCTGAAGAAAAGTCGCCACTACTTCTTTTTCTCCAATGTCTTTACTATAAGCTATTTCACTAGCATGCTTTCCTTCAAATGTGCCAATGATGTATTCTATTGAATGCTGAAAATCAGTCATAGATTCCGCATTTAACCTGATTACATCAACTGGAGGGAGAACGGAAATATTAAAAAGTTTTCTGAAATAAGTGTTAAAGCAATATGGCCATGCCCCGTTATTGTTAGTGTATACATGCTGTCCAAACTGTCTGGCAAGTTCAGATTTCCCAGACCCAGGCCCCCCACTAATTACCACATGGACTTCTGTGTGCCTATACCTTGCTGACAAATGATCGAACTTCTCTTTAATATGCTTCACATCCAATGTTCGCTCATATGATTCGTGTGACAATTCAGGCTTCAGTACGAGTAAAGACCTTGGATATCCGATGTCGCTCAAATTCGGTTTCATCACATACATAATTGCCAAAAGTGTGATAACTAGGCCTATCGTCAACTTGAAATAACGTGTACGAAACCATGGAGGAATACTAATTCCTACATTACGAAACATAAATAGCCAGCTCTTCCACAGAGATTTGAGAAGTTTGTCTTTTCTTGCGTCGTTAATGAGGCCTCGAGTAGATTCATTTCTGTCTCTTATACACATCTTTTGGTTTAACGAAGCCTCTGGCTTGTCATCTAATACTTTGGATATCACTTTAAGAATCCTTTGAAAAGAATTTTCAATAAAGCGATTTCCTTGAGTTGTGTTGTCGTTAAGCCCTTTCGGTGTACAAACTATACGAGATGCTTCTCTGGTGACTTGATGCATGGATCTTAGTGATAGTGTTTAACAATTTAACAGAATCATTAGGAGGCATACCATCAAATAAATTCATGTAGTGAGTTTTTGGTAACTCGTAGATGGGTCGGTGTTGAGTAGTTACAACAACTCTTATCTCACCATAATCGTCATTACCAGGATGTAGTAGACACTTTCCGTAGCTTCGATTTTTATAAAGAAATCTGTACATTGCTCTTTTGACATTGTCAATTATTAATACTGGTCTACGCGATCGTTTTTTTAAAGCCTGTTTAAGCTGAAGAAAAGTCGCCACTACTTCTTTTTCTCCAATGTCTTTACTATAAGCTATTTCACTAGCATGCTTTCCTTCAAATGTGCCAATGATGTATTCTATTGAATGCTGAAAATCAGTCACAGATTCCGCATTTAACCTGATTACATCAACCGGAGGGAGAACAGAAGTATTAAAAAGTTTTCTGAAATAAGTGTTAAAGCAATAAGGCCAAGTCCCGTTATTGTTAGTGTATACATGCTGGCCAAACTGTCTGGCAAGTTCAGATTTCCCAGACCCAGGCCCCCCACTAATTACCACATGGACTTCTTTGTGCCTATACCTTGATGACAAATGATCGAACTTCTCTTTAATATGCTTCACATCCAATGTTCGCTCATATGATTCGTGTGACAATTCAGGCTTCAGTACGAGTAAAGACCTTGGATATCCGATGTCGCTCAAATTCGGTTTCATCACATACATAATTGCCAAAAGTGTGATAACTAGGCCTATCGTCAACTTGAAATAACGTGTACGACACCATGGAGGAATACTAATTCCTCCATGACGAAACATAATTAGCCAGCTCTTCCACAGAGATTTGAGACGTTTGTCTTCAATAGCGTCGGTAATAAGGTCTCCAATTGATTCATCTTGTGTCTGTGTGTCTGCAGTTTGTGCCTCTGAAGCTTGATTTAACTTGTCACTGCTCTGAGATGTAGGTTTATTATTATTTTCAGTTGTTGAGTTTTTACCCAACGTTCGCTCATATGTTTTGTTTGACAATTCAGGCTTCAGTACGAGTAAAGCGCCGGGACATCCGATGTCGCTCAAATTCGGTTCCATCACATAAAAAACTGCCAAAAGTGTGATAACTAGGCCTATCGTCAACTTGAAATAACGTGTACGAAACCATGGAGGAATACTAATTCCTACATTACGAAACATAAATAGCCAGCTCTTCCACAGAGATTTGAGAAGTTTGTCTTTTCTTGCGTCGTTAATGAGGTCTCGAGTAGATTCATCTTGTGTCTTTGTGGCTGCAGTTGGTGCCGCTGAAGCTTGACTTAACTTGCCAATGCTTTGAGATGTAGGCTTATTTTTTTTAGTTGTTGGGTTTTCACGAGTTTGAGACCTTCTGGTTACAGAGCCTTGCTGTCGACCAGCGGCTCCACTTTGAGATCGTGTAACAACCATTTCCAGAGCAGTTGAGAGAGTTTATATCCATAAAATGCCGGGCGTATTTCCTTTAATCGACTATAAGAACAGGAGGTCTTTCTATATAAGTGTTACTCATGTAGATCTGGTGAGCATTGGTGTGTTTTTTGTTCAGTGCCCGCCGTTTTGCCTTCTTTTGTCACCAAATTCCAAAGTATTGTATATAATATAGCCAATGGTGCATGGCGTATTACAATACGTGTTTGTTGTTGGCACATGTACTCATTGCTGAAATAATAGATTTCGATTGAGTAGCTTTTTTTGTGCTGGATCATCGAGGCACTGCTGAACATTGTTCCCTCAGTCTGCCGGAAATATTTATTTCCCGACGAGTAATTCAAATGTGTTGATCGGTAGTTGTTAAATAGCACGACGTAAAGCGAAGGAGGTGAGGCGTTTTAGGGTGTAGTCATGCATAATTATTAGCAACCCACACCTCCCTCGCTTAACTCGTAGTATTTTGCAACTATCAATAAAACAATGTTTTGCTTTTATGTTTTTGTTTATTTATTTATTGGAGGACCATTTTGTAGTATTACTAATTAATATCCCACTACTTTTTTTTTTAATTGTTGGTATACTTGTCCTTTTTGAGCGCTTTTGGACAGTGATTTTTTTGGCTTTCAAAAGAGAACTAGCAAAATGATTTTTTTGTTCTAGAGGGGATTTTTGATATGCCATTAATAATAGAATCAACCTTAAAATCGTTTTTTTGACAATTTTTTATGAAGTTATAGGCCATTATATACGATTTTTACCGTGACGTCACACTCTTTAAATTGTATAAAGAAAAATAATTGTTGTACTGTATTGTATTGTTGATATATCATGTTTATCATTATGAACATAGTATAGGTAGGATTTTTAAAGTATGAGAGTGCAATTACGGGGCACCTAAATGTCCATATTCTCACGCATCCCCTACCGCCAGATCCTGCATCCGCTCCAAGTATGGTACATCACACAGGTTATTCAGATCTCTGATTGCCGAAAATCGATGATAAAAAATCTTGAGAAATTTGTTGGTGCTTCATTTTGACTACAGTGGTAATGTGATGATGACGAATTTCTCTGTTTAGAGTGTCATTTCAGGGCCATATATATAAAATTACTATTTCCTAAAATGTTCGCACCTCAGCCCCAACCATGGTGGGGCTGACGTATGTGGGCTCACGGCTTTGAAGTACCGGTAAGTATACTAAAGTATTTACATCAACAACAATGCTTTTAATTTATATTTTCTATGATACATCACACATATTACTTAGATCTTTAAGGTTGCCGAACATCGCTGATAAAAGATCATAAGAAATAATAGTGATGTGATGATGATAAATTTTACTATAGGCCTATAAAAGTGTCATTTCCGGCCATCTAGAAGGGTACTATTTCCTTAAATTCTCGCACCTCAGCCCCAATTATGGTGGAGCTCAGATAGGTGTGAACTCGCATCTTTGAAGTAAGTGAAGTAAAGCAAATAGGCCTACCGTACATCAAAGATAATTTTTCTAAGTCTTATTTTCTATGGTACATCACACAGACTATTTAGATCTCTTTGATTACCGAAAATCGCTAATAAAAAAATAATGAGAAATTTGTTGGTGCTTCATTTTGACTACAATCTGTCTCTTATACACATCTAGATGTGTATAAGAGACAGCATATGATTCGTGTGACAATTCAGGCTTCAGTACGAGTAAAGACCTTGGATATCCGATGTCGCTCAAATTCGGTTTCATCACATACATAATTGCCAAAAGTGTGATAACTAGGCCTATCGTCAACTTGAAATAACGTGTACGAAACCATGGAGGAATACTAATTCCTACATTACGAAACATAAATAGCCAGCTCTTCCACAGAGATTTGAGAAGTTTGTCTTTTCTTGCGTCGTTAATGAGGTCTCGAGTAGATTCATCTTGTGTCTTTGTGGCTGCAGATGGTGCCGCTGAAGCTTGACTTAACTTGCCACTGCTTTGAGATGTAGGCTTATTTTTTTTAGTTGTTGGGTTTTTACGAGTTTGAGACCTGAAGTAAAGCAAATAGGCCTACCGTACATCAAAGATAATTTTTCTAAGTCTTATTTTCTATGGTACATCACACAGACTATTTAGATCTCTTTGATTACCGAAAATCGCTAATAAAAAAATAATGAGAAATTTGTTGGTGCTTCATTTTGACTACAATGATGTGATGACGAATTTTACTAAATAGGAGTGTCATTCCCGGCCATCTAAAAGTAATTTTCCTCAAATTTTTAACCTCAGCCACAGATCTGCGCCCTGGGATTGTCATAGGCCGATTTATATTAAAGCGCATTTTACGACCCACGGACCGTTTTTAAGTCACTATATAAATAATATTATACGTTAATAACTGAATTAAAATTATTTTACTTGATTGTAAAGAGTATGTGCCTACCTCCAATGCAAACCGATTTTAGAGCACATCCTCTGGTCTGAAAAGTGGAAGCATGAACAACACACAACAATGGATGCCGCAATTAAATCTAACACCATGTAAGCCTACAGCTGTACAACCATAGTACGGCATAGTACACACTTTTTTTTAATTTTAAAAGATGTTCTTACAGTATTTCACATACAAGTTTTGCTTTCCCCGTAATTTAGATAGGCCTATTATCAGACAGGTGCACAAACAACCAGGTATCTGAAAGAAAATTGCTGCTAAGAACTGCATTGTCCTACCAGGCTATTAACCAGAAATTATTAGTTCAACGCCCACCCCTAATTAGCGAATCGGTCTACCCATTGTGGACGAACCCTCACCACCAGTCCCTCTCAATGGTGGCGCCAGCTGGGGAGGGGTGCAATCGGACAAGCAGAAAGAGATACATAAATCCAAGATTTTCAGCTAATGTGCATATTTTAATTTGGCCACATACCAAAAGCTAGCCATTACACTTTAAGTGCGAAATATAAATCCACCACTCATTTACGAAGATCTGAGATTTTTAAGCCAATGGGTCTGTTTCTATAAGTTCACTACGATATGTAAAATGCCGACTATTTTATACTCTATATACAACAGTAATAATAATAAATATATAAGTAAATAATATATATAGGTCTCATTTGACTTCATACATATTGAAAAGGGTTAGACCTATAGACGAGAGAAACCAAAACACCTCTATTTAGGAGATGCGGAAGTGGGCATGCCCTCTCAAAAAAGCTCTCCCCCTACCCCTGGAATTTTTTGAAGCAAAAATATGCAGAATAGTGTGTAGCACATAACATTGATTTGCATTTAACATTTTAAAATTTAGTGACAGAACGGGGGACACCTGCCCTTACCCCCTCCCCCCACCACTGGATCCGCCCCTGGCTAGCATTCCCTCACTTTACCATCGAGTCCTCACATTTTACCACTGTTCACTTCCCCATTTTCTTTCGTGGCAATGTAAGGTACAGTACTACAATTAAGGTTTGATGCAATTTATATGGGAGTTCCGTTTTTCATGTCTTTCTTTTATGGCAAGAACAAAAGGCCACAAAACCAAACGACAAATGGCATTGCACATAAATACCAAAAAAGGACAGAATACTAGAGAAATGCGATTGGTACATTCAGCTGACTTCTCATAACGCTATTTCAAAACAGTGAAATACTTATATGTTTTGCCAAAATTCACAGTTCTAACTTTTCACATGTAGTCTCGTGTACTATTGTTTAGTTTTTAACCAATCAGCAGCATGTCTCACTACCCAAAACATATGAACATTTGACTGTTTTGCAATTTCTGCAGACTCCTGAAAACGATTGAAGCAATTCAATCTAAACGTCGAGATATTTTCAACCAACAACAACAGTTCTTTTCAGAACTATCTACGTGGTGTACCGCAATCATTAATAGGCTATATATTACTCTGCCATGCAAACCTTCAAACAATATCATCTAACAGTTTATGCAATTCTTCAATTCGTGGGTGATTCTCTTTATAAACAGTCCGAAGAACTGACAAAGCGTGCCTGATATAATCCTGTGCTTTTTTTGTATCTTCAAGCTTTCTGAACACAATGCCTAAATGTTTTAATGTTTCACTGATACCTACAGCTTGAGATCCCTGATTGCTTAACTCCTCAAATATTTCTAAGGCTTTCTCGTGTTTAATTTCAGCCATTTGTAGGTCTCCAAGCTCACTGTATATCAGACCTATCCCATTTAATGTATTTCCTACCTCTGAACTCTTTTCTCCGAGGGATCTTTGGAAAATCTCGAGACATCTCTCACCGTTCGATAATGCGTCTTTTAAATGATGCATTTCTCTTTGTGTATTGGACAGATCGTGCAAAACTTCACCAACGTGATAATGTGCTGGCCCATAATATTGTTCTCGTATTTTAAGGGATCGCTCTAATGTTTCCAGGGATTGTTGCCGATCTCCTTTTGCACGGTACGTAAAACCTAGGAAATATAATGTTTCGCCAACATTTGGATGGATATCACCGTGGATTTCTTCGTGGATGCTTAAAGCTTCTAAAAGTGCATGAATACTCTCATTATACTGTCCAAGGGAATAGTAATTTGTCGCTAAAGTATTTAAAACTCTTGCTACTCTTTGGTCGTGAGCACCATAAGCTTCTTTTGTAATATGCAATGCCTCCTGATATGTCACCTTAGCTTTGTTTAAGTCACCCTGCCTATTATATACCACAGCAAGATTTAAAAGAAAGGCCCCTAGGCGTGGATGTTTATTCGAGTAAATTTGTTTTGCAAGGTCTACAGCTTGTTCGTGGTATTGCTGAGCTATGTCAAGTTGTTTTCTGTATCTGTGGACAACTCCCAGTAAATGCAAAGAGACAGCAATCATTGGTGAAGAGACATACTTCTGTGAAACATTGAGAGCAAGTTCATGTAATTCCTGAGCTTTCGACATTTTCTGGCCAACACCTCTGTAAACGGTTCCCATCATATTGAGTAAAAGAGAAGTATTTGCTACTGAAGTTTGTTGTACATTCCTAAGAGAACTCGTAGCAAAATCTTCAACCAGTTCCACGATTTTCTCAAGGTCCTTAGGTTGTTGGTTTCCAGTGTAATATATATAAAGAACAGAAAAAAACTACTCCAAGCTCTGGCTTCCCTTCTGAGAAACTTTCTTTTGTCATACTTACCAAGAACGTGACTTCCGGCATAACGACTGCAGATTTATGCTTATTTGGCCAATAGAGGTAGGGTTCTGCCATGGAGTTAAGAAATTTCCAACAAAATTCCTTGGTTATGATTTTAGAATATTCAAGATTTAACGGAAGTGAGTGCGACACCAGGGACATTAAAACATCCACAAGTTTGAAGTTTAGCGTTGTATACTCTGTCATTTGGTTTAACGAAGCCTCTGGCTTGTCATCTAATACTTTTGATATCACATTAAGAATCTTTTGAAAAGAATTTTCAACAAAGCGAATTCCTTGAGTTGAGTTGTCGTTAAGCCCTTTCGGTGTACAAACTATACGAGATGCTTCTCTGGTAACTTGATGCGAAAGAATAAAAGTATGCCCTGATCGAGTCTGCAGTTCATAAATTGATGATCGATAAATTAACTCCTTAACGCTGTAGTTTGTATAATCTTGAAGGACTGAATTCATTCTTGTATATTGCAAAAAAAGTTGCATGGATATCGTCTGCGAGTCACAGTATCCCACGAAGCAAGCGAGATCTTTGTATAATTTTCCATTGCTTCTGATAACTAGCTGGTTAATTGTTTTTATTGACGTTGTCAACATAGATAAGTTGTAAGGTAAGCCTTCATATTTTGCCTCATTCCATAAAAAATCAATATCAGACCTGTACTCTTCTAAATCCAGTTTAAATTTCTGTAGATAATGAAAATAAGACTCGTTTCCATGAAGGGTTCTTTCTGTTTTAATATAAATTGCTGCGTTTGCTAATGAAAAAGGCAAGCCACCCAATTCTTTTGCTAGATAACTTGCGTTTTTGTCATCATTATGGATCTTAGTGATAGTGTTTAACAATCTAACAGAATCATTAGGATGCATACCATCAAATAAATTCATGTAGTGAGTCTTTGATAACTCGTAGATGGGTCGGTGTTGAGTAGTTACAACAACTCTTATCTCACCATACTCGTAATTACCAGGATGTAGTAGTTGCATTCCGTAGCTTCGACTTTTATAAAGAACTTTGTACATTGCTCTTTGTACATTGTCAAATATTATCACTGGTCTACTCGATCTTCTTTTGAAAGCCTGTTTAAGCTGAAGGAAGGTCGCCAATACTTCTTCTTCTCCAATGTCTTGACTGTACGCTATTTCATCAGGACGCTTTCCTTCAAATGTGCCAATGATGTATTCTATTGAATGCTGAAGTTCAGTCATAGATTCCGCATTTAACGTGATTACATCAACCGGAGGGAGAACGGAAATATTTAAAAAGTTACTGAAATAAGTGTTAAACCAGTAAGGCCATGTCCCGTTATTGTTAGTGTATACATGCTGGCCAAACTGTCTGGCAAGTTCAGATTTCCCAGACCCAGGCCCCCCACTAATTACCACATGGACTTCTGTGTGCCTATACCTTGATGATAAATCATCGAATTTCTCTATAATATGCTTCACATCCAACGTTCGCTCATATGAGTCATGTGACAATTCATTCTTCAGTACGATTAAACCCCTGGAATATCCAATGTCACTGGAATTCGGTTTCATTACATACAAAACTGCCAAAATTGGGATAAATATCGTCAACATATAATAACCTGCTCGAACGTTGAAAAGCCAGATCCTCCACAGATATTTCAGAAATATGTCGCCTTCGACTAATTCGCCAATGAGGCTTTTAATAAATTCATACATTGTCTTTGTGCTCTCAGTTTGTTTCCCTGAGGGTTGACTTAGCTTGCCACTGCTTTGAGATGTTTTCCTTTTCGTTGTTAATTTTTTATGAGTTTGATAATTTTTGGTTACAGATCTGCCTTGCTGCTGTCGACCAGTGGCTCTACTTTGAGATCGTGTAACAACCATTTTCAGAGTAGTTGAAAGGGCTTATAGCAATGAAACGTCGATGTGTATTTTCTTTAGTCGACTGCAAAGATGGGAAAACTTTGTTTAGTAAGCGTTATTCCGAAAATCCAGTGAACATTGCCTTGTTTATGTATTCCTACAGCGGACGAACTTCCGCTGCTGTTAGTTCGTGTTGCTGTCCCGTGCCTGCCTTGTTGCCTTCTTTTGTCACCCAATTCGATAGCGCTGTATGTAATAGTCAATGATGCATGTCGTATTACAATACGTGTACTAGGTAAATGTACTCATTGATGAAAGGACAGATTTCGATTGAGTAGCTCTTTTTGTGATGGATCATCGAGGCACTGCTGAACATCTGGTTCCTCAGTCTGCCGGCCATATTTATTCCCCTACGTGACCCGACCCGAGTAATTTAATAAGGCCAAAAAAAATCTTGTGTTGGCCACGAATTTTTTTTAAATGGGTAGGTCGGTAGGAAAAGTTTTCTTCTTTCTTTTTTGTTTAAAAAAAAAATCTATATTGAAGAGCAAAACGATCGTATAACACTGTCGCATCCGATCTGTCACAGCAAGATAGGCCTATTCCAGCCAATTTTTATCTCATTAAAAAAAAATATTTTTCGTTGTAGTTAAAAAAAAAAATTAAAATGCCGAATGCCGAACCTGAATTTCGTATATTTTGGATCGGTTGGGCGTGGCCAACGCAATAATTCTTTTCATTTGGCCTATGTTAGTAGGTAGTTGCTAAATACCAGCGAGAGTGGTGATGCTTTTTATGGCCACGTCATGCATAAAGGCCTGTTTATACTTCAACGATAAGGATAAAAAAAAGCTAAAAAGCGATTGTTCATATAGAAGACAAAAAAAAGGAGAAATTTTTACACTAGGACAATTCGATAACGATTTATCGTGTATGATAACAAAATATTTTAACAAATCAAATCAGATATCGTCATAATCATGGAAAAACGATAAAATCGTTTTAATGTTATTCCATGATTATCACGTCATCTGATTTGATTTTTCAAAATATGTTGTTATCGCATAACTGATAAATCGTTATCGAATCGTTCTAGTGTAAAAACTGCTCTTATTTCTTTTATTTTCTATATAAACAATTGCTTTTTAGCTTTTTTATCGTTATCGTTGAAGTATAAACAGGCCTTAATACTTAATAACTCACACCTCCATCGCTTAACTCGTGGTTACTATCAATAAAATAATGTTTGCATTGATTTAGTCGCTTTTGGTTTATTTATTGGAGGACTATTTAGTAGTTATTGTATTATTAATATTAGTAGTATAGGCCTGATGGATTGTCATTGCGAAGGAGGTATCGTATCAAAATGGCACTGTACATGTTTTTGATGAAAATATTTGAAAAAAAAAAAATTTAGCAATTTCAGATAACAATGGTTTGTTTTTATACACAGATATTTAAAATAATAATTCTGGACTTGAATTGTGTACAATAGGCCCGTTGTTTAAATTTTAATATAGATATTTCATGCTATAGTATTAGATTAATCAATATTGTTCACGATTTTACAAATACTTTTTTGTAATGAATATGTCAATCAATTCGCACCAATCGAAAGTGTTGGTTCACGTGAATTCATATTTCTATCCGAGTTTTTCGCTTCAGCGAAATCGGTAGTTGAACTGGTACTACTTTTTGCAAAGCAAAAAATGCCCAACCAATCAGAGCTCAAGAAGCGAACCTACGCTTTCGATTCGCGCGAATAAATTAACCTAGGGAAACCTAGACCTGTTTATACTTACGACGATAACGATAACAGTAAAAAGCTAAAAAGCAATTCTTCATATAGAAAATAAAAGAAATAAGAGAAGATTTTATACTAGGACGATTTGATTACGATTTATCGTGTATACGATACCAACATATTTTGACAATGTTCAGTGGCGTTATTATGTAAGCATTACTGAAAGGTGCACGTAATGAGATTAAATGAATTATATGAAAGTATATAAATACCTAATATTGAAATACAACGTATGATGTATACAAATTAAAATTTAACACGACACTGTATTTTAGCGCAAGTCTGTTTATTCAAATTGTTTTCTCCTATTAGTTTTTTAAAAATTTACTTTTACTCTCAGTTTTCGTACTGTAAATGCACAAGAGTGTTCAAATTCACTTGAAAAGAAATAACTTAATAGTGTAGTGTGTGTGGGGGTGTGTATATGTGGATGTGAGGGGCGGTGTTTGTGCATGCATAGGCTTATCTGCATTGTAAAATCAGTGGAATATTGGGGGAAACATGTATAAACAACAAAATATATGGCTTACATTATCTTATATACATGTGCACAATATACATGTATACATTACAGCAGGAAATAAAAACAGTATATGCAACATACATTACAATGTATTTAATTACATATTTATGAATTAAACACTATGTATACATTTATACATGTGTATATACAATATAATATCATTTATCGAAAGGTCCACTGATTAAATATCATTTATGTATTACATAAATATATCATGCTGTATATATAATATATACATATATATAATATATATACACACACATATATATATACACATATATATATACACACATATATATCTGTCTCTTATACACATCTCATTGCCTTGTTTATGTAATTGAACACTTGAAAATGCATAGGAATTGGCTTGATTCTGCCAGAGAAAAATTAAAAATCAATTATTATTATTATTATTACAGAAATACTAGACTATATACTTAAAATATAGAATTAATGCACTATTTAATAACTTAAACATGTCTACTTTGTCTTTGAAGCAATACATCTGAGTATTTCAAGTGTGAATACTTTCCTCATCTTCACCTGATCTTAGCAAATGTTTCATTATCACTTTTTTTTTATAAACAGCAATTTCAATATACAGTATACATATTTTCTCATTTATTACGAAATCATTCCACTTTTCAGTTTTTTAAATGCATAAATTATGTAACTTTTGTAGTTGATATAAAGCTGTCGAAATTATCAAATTTTCTTTAACAAAAAAGTGTTGTATGCCCATATACAGTCATGATGTGCCTATTATGGTCATGATGTGATCACATCATGACCATATTTAGGCATGTCACATGTCTTATAGTCTAGACAGGGGTTTAGATAGTGTAAGGTGCATTTGATGCCTGTAACATATCACCATGTTCATATAAATCCTGGAACACACTGAGATGACAGTCATTTCCATGAGCATGTGATGTGAGAAATGATTGTGGAGTGGATCATTTTCAGCATCAGGCTGCCATCACTGCGTGAAGCAAGTGCTTGCACTGACCACAGAATGCTGTGAGTCAATGCATTGTGTGCCTGGACTAACGCATATTCACAAATTTGTTTTCCATCATATAATAAGTGTGATCTCCACTGCAACACTCATCATTTGTGACCCTCTATGCTCTATAACATTTTCATGAGACTATATAGAGTAGAGTTTCTTTAGGTAGAGACATCGTTTTGGCAATGTGTTGAAATTAAGATCTTAGTATTGAAACTCTGGTATCTCATCCAAATCCCCAATTGTACATTAGGCCTAAAACAATAAATTGTTTGTTTTATAGAAGGCGCAAAAATGTTTTTTTTTTTCTCCTGTCTCCAAAATCAGGGAACAGTTAAACTGCCAAAATTAACAATAAACATATTAAATCCCAATGCTTGCAATTAAGCCTGTCTCACTGTTTGTTTTTGAAAGGGTATTCATCAGACTGAATAAAAATAACCCATAATCAATATTTTGCAATGAATTTAGGCCTAAAATGGTGATACTTCACATCAGACACAAAACTTTCATGTGTAAAATGGAGAAAAATAAAGATCACCTTTTAAAATTTGAACAAAATGTTTTAAATGCCAAAAATGCTGCCCCTATTTTTCCGTCAGCTAAGGGAAAACAAACAATTTTTTTAGGCCTTACTAAAATGTTGCAACAAATCCCAGTATTCATCTGACTCCAAGATACATCATTCATCTGTTTCCATAGTGAACTAGATCCTAAGAAATATATTTCTTCCACCATCTATATGTTCCAAAAATGCATCAGAATCCAATGATACATGTGCTAATGATAATCATCTCTCACGACGCATATCTTTCCTGATCATAAATAACCATAGCTGAATTAAAAAATTTTTTTTTTATGGAAAAAAAAAATCTTTATGAAAGCGGAAAAAAGAATCTTTTTTTACTCACTTGATATTCAAATTGTCACTATGTATATATTTATTGTTCTTGTTGACAATTTTTACATTTGTATTGGTAAGTTATGTTTATTTTAAAAGAAACATTGTCCATCTGTCCATCACTAATATGCAATGGTTCTGAAAGTTACCAACTCAAAAAACTACTTTGTACATATAACAGTCAACTAAAAAAAAAAAACAAGTTTAATATTGTCTATCATGAAAAAAACAACTAGTTAATCTGAGCCTCTTCTTTTAGACTATGGTTGTCATCTTCAACAATATTTTCTTCTCGTGTGTATACAGGCTCTTTGCGTCCCTCAACTACATCAGCGTCTACAGTGACTTTAGTGATGTTAGAACCAGGCACTTCATACATAGCATTCAGTAAAATTTTCTCCTATGGAATGAACATTGAATACATTGTTTAAACATTCAATAAACAGAAGATCATAACAGTATTTATCATCATTTGCATCACCAAGGTCATCTGAATAGCAATTTATTTGCTTTGGCTGACCCTAAAGCTTGGTTTCTATACAATAGCTACACGTTATCACTGACAGGTTTTGGTGATAATGGTTGGTCGGTCGAATCGGGGAGCATTCTTGGTTGTGTTGGGGACTGCTACGCAGTGCGACGATTGCACTAAAAACACAGTAGGGACAGTGCAGCGATTTTATGGAAACCAGGCTTTAAATTCAATTACATTAATTTTTATATTCAAATAAATTAAATTACCCTCAATATCATTATCATCTTCATAATGATTACTATCATCAATGTTATTTTCATCATCATCATCATAATCACCACAATAAACATCATTTATTTCATCACTATCATCTACCCATCCTTTTAATCTATTTCATCATCATCTTTATCCTTGTAGTCATCATCACCATATTTATCTTCCTCATCATCAGTACCACCATCATTAGCATCACCAACATTAATATCATCATTACCACTGAAATCCTCACCATCCTCATCACTGCCCTCACAATCATTATCATCACCACCACCATTACCGTCATCATTCTCATCACAATCCACAGTGTCATCATTCTTGTCACAATGCTGAATGTCATCATTCTCATATCAAAATTCTCAATGTCATCATTCTCATCACAATCCTCAAAGTCATCATTCTCATCACAATCCTCAAAGTTATCATTCTCATCACAATCATCAATGTCACAATCCTCCATGCCATCATTCTTGTTACAATCCTCAATGTTATCATCCTTGTCACAATCCTCAATGTCATCATTCTTACCACAATCCTCAACGTCGTTACAATCCTCAATGTCATTATTTTCGTCACAATCTTCAATGTCATTCTTATCACAATCCTCAATGTCATCATCCTCATCACAATCCTCAAAGTCATCATTCTCATCACAATCTTCAATGTCATTCTTATCACAATCCTCAATGTCATCATTCTTGTCACAATCCTCAATGCCATCATTCTTGTCACAATCCTCAATGTCAGCAAACTTGTCACCATCCTCAATGCCATCATTCTTGTCATCATCCTCAAAATCATCATTCTTGTCACGATTCCCAATGTCATCATTCTTCTCACAATCCTCAATGTCATCATCCTCATCACAATCCTCAAAGTTATCATTCCCATCACAATCCTAAATGTCATCATTCTTGTCACAATTTTCAACGTCATCATCATTCTTGTCACAATCCTCAATGACATCATAATCATTATTGTCATGATCATCATAATAATCATCATCATGATAATCATCATAGGCCTATATTTATTTGGCTAAAAGCATTACTCAATTATTCAACTAATGCATCAAAAGCAATAAAAGCACTTACAATAATTGATCTAAGCCCCCTTGCTCCTGTCTTGCGATCGAGTGCATGTTGAGCAATAGCATTCAATGCCTCAGGTAAAATTTCTAATTTACTCTACAAAATTTTAAAAAATAAACAACAATTGCATTATCTATGTTCGAGCTTTAAAACGGGTGTCACCTCAATTTTGAAAGATAACCAGTGGAATAGCTATGGGCAGTGCAGCCAGTGCAATGCACTGGGGCCCTGGGGCACTGGGGCCAGATTATCAGCTTAAGTTCATTTTTTTGCTTAAGTCAAATTTATCACTATTGCCTTAACTTTAAAAAAACTTCTTAAACTTAAAGTCGATTGTACACATGAACCATCTATTAAGATGATATTTAGGCTAAGATTTTGCTAAGATGGTTTGATAAATCAGCTTAAGATATTTGCTTAGGGACTTCCAAACTTTTTTGACTTAAGACATTTGCTAAGCTGAGATTATTAAACCTCGGGCCAGGGCTATTCATAAATAGACCTAAATATAATAATTTAAAACAATTTCCAACTTAATTTTGAAGAAAAAAAAGGTAAGTTTAGAACAGCTGCTGAGACAGAATATGCCACTCCTAACTAGTTACAAATCCTATTATCATTAGTATTTATTTAATACTAAACCTAGGCCATCAGGAGTACGGGTAAAAGAAGCACTTCTTACAATGAATTTTTGGACAACTGTAAGAAATTCCCCTATCACATCAAAGGCCCAGCAATTAATCTTGCACTGGGGCCCTTTCGCACATATTTACACCGCTGAAGATTGCTTTATTAGCTTTTCACATAATGCCAATTAACATAATTAGAAATAACAATATTCCTATTCTCTGCATTGACCCATACTTGGCTAATAATTAATTAAGGAGAGACTTTTTTTATTCCTAGTTTCGCATACTTATTTTTTTAAAGATCATCGGAGGAGGGCAGAATAAAAACAGAAATAAAATTTATTAAAACATCCAGACGGAGGAGAAAATAAAAATAAAATTTTATTGGTAAATGTAAAATGGGAAGGTTAAATGCTTCTTTGGAGATTTCAAGGCAGCGGAGTGGGTAATAAAAATAAAGAAAAACTTTTATTTTTTTCCTGAAATTTCCATCTTTTCGTGGCGATGGGTGCACTAATTGGCCAAAAATAAAATTTTATTTTTATTCAAAATCATCAACATTTGTGTTAGGCAGGTTTGCCAAACAAGGTATAAAAAAAGCCTCGCCTAAGGAGTACTGAAACTGAAACTGTCTGTAAACCAGTAAAACATTCTAAGTTAAAATAGCAGTTAAAAACCTTCTTGATCATGTTAAATAAAACTCTATCCACTACAGACTATCAAATTCTATGGGATGTGCCTATATATGGGCATAATGATGTCATATTACATCCAAATATGAGCATATCACATTTGTCACATGGAATTTGATATTGTGGATAGAGCTATGCAATGTTTCAAGAGAATTCTTTAAGATTTTCCAACAGATATCTTTAACAGGTGTAAAAATATTGTGTGGAAAATCTAAATACTCACATTATCCATTCCAAAAAGGTATTTAAACTGAGGCACAATTGCATTACATGGCTCTGTCAAAATCCGTACAAGCATTTCCTCGTTAAGTGATGTTAAGCTAACGTTGATTGGAAACCGTCCCACAAATTCAGGAATCATGCCAAACTCAATGAGGTCCCGTGCTTCCACTAACTTTAATATAGCGTCTTTCTCTGCGTCATCCTCTTTGGTGCTCTCACCTTCTCCGAAGTGAGTGAGGTCAGCAATTGTAGCTGCCCTTCGACCTTGACTGGCACTGACTGGTGCTCCAAATCCTAGGTACTGAGAAAGCATATGAACATTTTTTCCATTGTATATTCACAATCAGTTATGAGTTTTAATAAATACTACAGTAATACTAATTATAACTTAATTAGTAACTACTGTAATTTCTACAGTTGAACTTGCCTAAGTCGAATCCAAAATGCCATTGAAATATTGTTCGACTTAGATAAAATTTGACTTACAGATTGTTATTAATGGAAAACAAAACAATTTGACATGTAAAATTAGATCGACTTAAAAAAATTATTCGACTTGGGCAAAGTCGACTTAGGTAAGTTCAACTGTATATTTATTTGATTATTTTTACTTGTTTTAAATAAAATGCAATCATAAAATTAACAATATATTTAGAGAGTGTGTAGATAATAATTAGAAAATTTACCTTTTCACTCTTTCTTCTACTAACTAGCCTATCCAAACCGTTGAAGGCCCCAGAAGCAACAAACAGAATGTTAGTTGTATCCACCGGTACGCTCTCTCCCCGTAGTTTACGTGAGCTTCGTTCGGGTACGTTAACAATTGTCCCTTCTAGCATCTTCAGCAGCCCTTGTTGGACACCCTCACCTCCTACATCTCGCAACTGATGGATGCCTGGCACACTGCCAATTTTGTCTACTTCGTCTAAGAAGACAATACCTATGGAGGAAAGAAATAATAATAGAAAGTATAAAAATACATTCTTTAAAAAATAAAAAAAACCCCAATACCTTTAGCCCTGTCCAGACTACAAATTTTGTTTGATAAAAACATGCGACATGAATTACAACAAAATTTTGTGCGCTCCACTGTGGACTGTGAGTCAAGCACGCAATTGATTTGGAACAGTTCATTTATAATTTAGGGTGTTTCCACAGATGACAAATTAAACAAGTACAGTAACAACTTTATAAGGTATTTCATTCAAATTTCAATACAAATGTATAATATTTTTTATCAAAGTACTTTATCAACAAGTCTAGCACACATTGTACCTTTTCCATCACAATCATACCTACCACATTAGAAAACGGAATCATACAGCTCACGCCGGCTGCGACACGCGAACAGCTAAAAAAACTATGGTGTACTGCTTGTACCTAAACACTATAAATCTTTACTGCTTAAGACTTACATCATAAGAATCTGTATAATTTTCTCTAGCCTATGATCATAATCTTAGTGTTTAAAAATACAGATAATGTAGCAATTTTGCCTGGTATTTAAGAGAGCGCTGTATCCATGTGAGCATCAATGATTATATGCTTGTAATGTGTAAGCGTCTAGGGAGAAGTTTTCAATGGACTTCATAAATCTGATTGGTCCGATGAAACTAATGAACCAATCAAATTCATGTTTAGATATGATTTAGAAGTCAAATGATGCTTTCGAATGGAGTTTTCCCAATGAAAATCGACTAACTATTTTCGACTGTAGAGGGATTTATATTAAAGACAGCCAGGCGATTTCGGCCAAATTTACTGTCTTCAGGCCCCTAGGTTGACAAAAAACATGAGTGTGTCTGATTTAAATCAAAAGTCTAATAAATGTGTTTTGAATACAATTATAATTTTATAATGGTTGTAAAGATCATTAAATTCCAATTCGTTTTACAAGAAAATGTTTTAGATGTATTTGAAGATGTTCTCTGGCGTGTTATCAAATTTTAGCACAAAATGTTATCATAACGGTCTAAATATGGTCATGAGGACAACACATCATGACCATATATAGGCACATCTTGGCTATATATGGACATACAGCAGTTTTTGTCAAAGAAAACTTGATAGCCTGGAAAAAGCCTAACAAAGAAAATACTGGAACTGTGGGATGGTAGATATGTTGTCTATTTGGAGTTAATAAACTTGAAATTTATATTATTTATCAAATTAACAATCCAATAATACTCAATAATTAATTAATAAATAAATTTATATATAATACAAGGTCATCAAAATTGCCATGACAGACCTCGTTACCTGACTTTTGTTGTGACCTTGTCAAATGGTTAGGCGCGATCTACAAATTATCCCCAACGACAGAAACGGGTTAAACACGTTTACTATTGTTATATGACAAGCTCCCAAACGCGTCTGTGAAATGCCGTTTGGAAGCTTGTCGTTCGAGCCGTTTATTCCGTTTGGAAGTTAACTCCTCCCCTTTTCATATGGCTGACTGCTCGTGAATGGCAAAATGTTAAACGCGTTCAGCNCACATCATGACCATATATAGGCACATCTTGGCTATATATGGACATACAGCAGTTTTTGTCAAAGAAAACTTGATAGCCTGGAAAAAGCCTAACAAAGAAAATACTGGAACTGTGGGATGGTAGATATGTTGTCTATTTGGAGTTAATAAACTTGAAATTTATATTATTTATCAAATTAACAATCCAATAATACTCAATAATTAATTAATAAATAAATTTATATATAATACAAGGTCATCAAAATTGTCATGACAGACCATGTTACCTGACTTTTGATGTGACCTTGTCAAATGGTTATGTAAAAAAATTTCCTTGTTTCAGAATTCTTACCTTGTTGAGCTTTTTCTACATTGTAGTTGGCATCTATGAGGAGTTTGCCAATAACAGATTCAATATCTTCACCCACATATCCAGCCTGAGTCAAGGTTGTGCAATCACAGATAGCAAAGGGTACATCCAGGCACTGTGCAATAGTTTGAGCCAACAGTGTTTTACCTGCACGTAAAAATATTAACACTAACTTATACTAGAAAACCCACTTGCTGTAGCATCAAATTAAGATTCACTAACAGACCCCCCAACCTTTATAAACTAAGTGTGTCTCAGGATTATGAATTGGCGCTGTTGTCAATCTTGAGAAAGTATCCTGATATATATAGAATATAGCGCAAAGAGAAGAGCTATTGCTTCCACTCAGTCCTGTTGACAATCTTTTTTCTCAAATCTTAAAACAAGTTCCACTACCCTAGTCGTGTTATAAGAATTAGTTAATAAAGCATACTTGGAACCTACAAAAAACAGTAGCCAAATACAGGTTCCCTTGGGGGAAAATCTGGGGCAACAGTTCAAAAAGGTTTGTAACTAAAGTTAATTTTAAGAATGACATCTGTTGTGACTGCTGATCTAATATGTGGTACGGTCAAGTCAAATCAGTCGCTTGTCGGAGATCGCCAAATGAAATAATGTCAGATTGGTCACTCACATAATGACAGAATACTAAGCATGCACACAGTTACGATTTGACCCCACAATGCCACAGTAAAATCGAAACATGGTGTCATTGGAGCAAAGCTAAGCCTAGTTGTTCTTATTTTTGTACAGTTTTCATTCATTATATTACCAACAAATCAGTGAATAATGATTCAATAATATTTTATAGTTTTAAAACCTTAAGCAACGCTAACTTCCCAATGTTAGGCATAGGTTTTAGCTGAGCATAGACTGCTATCGAGCATCGCTAACCGGCATACAAATGTATCACCAATGATTTTGGCTGAATTCAAACTCAAATAATTTCCAAACCTACAAACGAAAATCTGGGTGTTGTTAGAAAAATGTATTTACAGTGTCAGTGTTTTACTTGGGCGATATTTCAAGAACGCTGTATAACGCTATCACCCTGGGTTGGGGGGTTCAGCTATGCCCATGGAACAAGTAACGTCTCCGCGCTGTCGGCGTCTCTGCACGTCTGTAAACTTTGAATGTGAATTTCTCAAAAACGTGTTTACGGTTTCTCCCAAACAATTCTATAACTTTATAATGAAAAGTCGGATTGTGAAAATGTTTTCACCATTGTAAAGAGAATACCGTATTAAATAATAATGTATTATCTCAAAATCCGAAATTCCGACAAGCAACTGATTTGGCTTGACCACGCCCTGTATATTTACATACAAATAAAATAATATTTCAGACATATTAATCCAAATAAAAAATATAATATTAATTATTTCAATAAAAATGTATAGTTTGCAGAAAACAATGATATAATCTTACCACAACCAGTTGGTCCCAGCATCAGTATGTTACTCTTCTCCAGTTTTAATTCATGTTCTTTTACATCTAATACTGTACTTCCTCTTTTCTTATCATCTTCTGTCTGATTGGCTTGTTGGCCTACAGACGAGGATGCTCCAAGAGCGTTGCCATGGCTTGTTATACCTGCTATCTGAAGAAGTTCTTCAGGGAAAATTAGGAATTCATAATGTTAAAACCATTTAAATATAAATTGTTTAAATGTCAATGATAAAAATAATAGTAGTAATAGACTTATATAGTGCTTCATATCAACAAGGTCCTCTAAGCGCTTCACATTATTACCCCTATACACTGGATAGAGCACATATGGAACACATACTCAGCTCCCTGGGGCGAATTCTATAATGTTATAGCTGTATTTAAGAGCATTACTGGAAAGGTTCTTAAGAATATATTGCAGATGAAGAAGGATGACACTACCTCTAGGTGAATATGCAGTAGATTGTGCCTTGTTCTCAGCCTGCTCTGATGCTGGCCGTGAGGGCGCTACAGGGATATTATTGTGAATCCTCTTGTAATGGTTGTACACAGCCACAGACAGTACTTTTTTGGCATGTTCTTGTCCAATGACGTGTTTATCAAGAAAGGAGTATATCTATATAAATAAACAAATACACTGTATATGAAATATGAATAGTAATAATCAAACATTATTAACTTTTCATTATATGCATTATTACCACTGTTTATTATCATTGGATGTTGTAAAACAATGAAAAAATGCCATTGATCACAGTATACTTTCTCATAGAAATTATGATCAATAGATAAGATAATGAAAAGGAAAAATATTTCAAGGGTTAGGAAGTGAAGTAAATAAAGTCATGAATGAAACTGAATAATACAGAATAAAACTCACTTTTTTTGGAGGGGGTGGTGGGGATCTCTCCGTTTTCACCTGTGCAGCATTCTCTTTAATTGTCTTTTTTGTGTCTGTCTCTGACAGAACCACAAAAAAATGATGACATTTTTCACACTTAACGAACCGTGTTGATGCTGGAAAAATAAGTATGAAAATATCATACATGCGCAGATTTTTAAACAAATATAAGTAACCTACAAGACTAAGACCATCTTACGCAGTAATTCAAGCCCGTAGCCTGCATCTACATAAGAGGTTCGGAGCATTGTGTTAAGGGACATCACTTAAGAGCCAAATGGGGTTCAGTGGCTTAAAGTATACTTCTTACAGTATTGTACAGTAATTATCCTACAAAAGCAATTTTTAATGTGAAGGACAGAGGAAAAAAGACATCCACTGGGTATAGAGGGAAGGATATTTTTGGTGTTTATGAGCTATGGAAATTGAGAGGCTAACTATTATATAGTAGAATGGACTGTTTCAATTACATTTCAACTTTACACACCCAATAATCAGACATATAAACAAGAGTTACTGGACTACGAATTCTTTCTCCTTATCTATTTAATTAGGTTTGAAATTCCATGTTACAATAATACCATTATCAAAAATGCTCTTCACAACATATAGGTCAACCTCCCATAACAGTGTATGTTCAAAAACAGAAAGCTCCAACAAGGAGATAACAAATCTAAAGTCAAGTACTTACAAACAAAAGTTTCGACATGAGTACAGGGATCTCCACACTTAGGACAGCAAAGTTGTCCCGACTTCCCTCCATCGCCACTGCTGCTGCTGCTACCACGGACACGCTTGCCACCACTAGCTGATGCGCTACTTTCCCCCTTTGTTCCACCGTCTTTACTACATAAGTACTGTACAGATGTTCCTAGGGATCTACTCGTGGTTAAAACTTTAGAGTTGATTGGTAATAAATTACATGAAGAATACATAATGCAGTTTGAACCTATAGGGAAAAGAAACACATTAAAAGACATTCTTTTAATTTAGTAATTACAGTATTCATCATTATCATCTTTTAAAGTCTGTTTCCCTGCACACTGGGAGGGCTAGACTGTTGAAAGGTTGTACAGTTAGCTGTAAGGTGGGTGTATCCTGCAAGACCAGGCGGTGCGATCAACGGCAACTTCTGGATTGAGGTTTAATCTGCAGAGGTCCCCTCGCAACATCATAACATGACTTAAATGGAAGACCTCATGGACAGGTCAAATACATAAAATCATAAATTATAATACATTAAGTGATGGTCTTTACCATAATACCTTAATTGATAAATCTATTAAATGCATGTATATTTTTTTCAACTGTAATGAAGGTGATCCTTGAAGTGCTGACTTAAAGGGCCTACACAAAAATAACTATCAATTAGAAAATGTATACAATTTCTTTTAATGCAATGTGCAGGAGAAAGTTAAAGTTTAATTTAAAAGTTGCATATTATTCAGAAATTGTACTAATAATAACATCAACAAGTCTCTATATTCTTAATGGCATCCTGTAATAACATGGAATTATGAAAGAGAATGCACAATAGATTATCCTCCCACAAACATTCTTTACTTACGTATTGATTCATTTGCTTAATAATGTACATAAAACACCTATCACATATCTATATTTAATATGTCCAGTGAAGTCCAAAGTGCCAAGGACACTAAAATCAAACATGATTTCTCAAGCTTGAAAATAACTAGATTTACACACTTTGCATTCTCAGGATAGTAGCTATAGAAAATAAAGGGTGGGTGGTACACATTTTAAAGGTGGGTATATGATAACATTGGTAAAATCTAAATAATAGAGTGAATTTGAACTATGGGCAAGGGTGTTAATAAATGTGGGCGTAGGGCCATGAAATTAGCTTTAAGGTTGGGTGGCCCAGCCCAACTCCGCCCACAATAACTACATCCCTGCATTCTGTAAATTTAATGTTTCACCATAATGTACTTAGTATAAAGTTAAGAAAACAGTACAGTAACAGTACATCTTTATTGGAAAATTAAGTTGTAAGAGGCAACATGAAAATGCCGAATGAATATGACGTAGGGGTAGTATCCCAGATATTGAGAAATACAATTGGGAGTTGTAGATAGTTAAATATATCTTCTCTGTGTGTTTTGATGAAATTTGACATGCCTATGTTTTAGAATTTTCAAAAAGTGTCAATGTCAAATGACTAAAGATACAGGATGATTAGAAAGTAACTAAAACATGTTTACAATCAATCAATAACATGCTGACTATATAAATATAGCATGAAACAAAAAAATCATACAAGAATCAATAACATTACTACAGAATACAACAATTTTATAACTCTTACTTACCAATAGGTTTTGTGCGTCGTACACGCATAAGAATTGACTTGGCAGTGGTCAGTCTTACTTTGTTATATGTGTGGGACATTGTGAGCTACAGTACAGTATACTACTGTATTGACTACTGCTGGACACAAAGTAAAAGTTAAAATTGTTGAAATGCAAAGAGAAACTGGTTTCTTTTTAGGTATGGAAGTTGTTCCTTTTACAATCTGAGATGTAGTATACCAAATTAAGGGAGAAATTTCCTTGTTTTCACCTGTAAAAAAAACAGAGTCAAAAAATTACTTCCTATCAATTGCAATTCATTTGTCTAAAAAACTTAGGCATTTGCCTTCCTATATCGCTCAATATAAACAATGTAGTACTATGTATTAGTTACAATTCTATACCTGCCAACTTTATGGAAGCACAAGTCAAATAAAATTAAAATGTTAAATGTAGCACCCTCTCTGTATTAATCATGAAAATGAGAGTTAAAAAATTGTAGTGAAACTGCTATGGATTACACAGGGTTTGTACAGTTGTTCTAAACAGGCAAATTTCCAGGACAATTCCACGACATTCCAGGTCAAATTTTTCCAAATTTCAAGGACACATTATACCGCTTAATTAACAGTAAAATATTAGCGATTTTCGACTGAATAATAAACGTACGCTATCCTAATGTTAAATACATGTTAGTTGAGTGCACATTAAGTTTCATCTAACTCTAATTCAGAGGAGATGGATCTGTCTTTATTTCTCACAATTGTGGGAAATTCTGTATTTCTCGCATATGTAAAAACTTGTTGGTAAGCAAAGGAATTGGGGAAGGACCAGTAAAGCATTGAGGTAATATATTTCCTCTATTTGGTAAAGTATAGCAGGAATAATCGCCTACAGTTGAACTGGAGTAGAATTCTCTCCTGTGTAATACATTTAATGTGTTGTCAAGGAGAGAATGTGTGTACAACAATGCCCTATCTTACCGCTTAAAGGCGGTGGAGTTCAGGCCCGTCCAGGGTTGTTGTGCACCGAATGAGAATGTAACTGTCTCAGCTGTAGCCATGTTTATAAATGTTTAAACTTGTATAAACTAATGATGTACTGTATTATTAATTAATTTAATTAATGGTCATGCTAATGCTCTACATATCATCATACTATAAAACTGTGTTATTATTTATTATTATTGATATAAGATCTATTATTATTAGGCCTTAGTTGTTAATTTTATCTCTGTATTTGGTCATTTATAATGCTGTAGGCCTACACATATAATTTACTATACATCAAATGTTATTAACATACAGCAAAGTTCTCACCATCCTACGGGCACTGATAGGCTGCCTACCGGCATTTTTGCTTCTATGATTTTGTAGACTTTAGAAACATTAACAAAATACCTCACTCTAAAATCAAGAACTTTTAACTGTAATCAACCTTTAAACATATGAAAATAACTGTTGAAGTACATGTTCCCATGGTTATGTCAATTGTTAATTAATTGTCTTGCAATAGATAGGGCCAAAACATGCCCATTCGTGTAGACCAAGTGTGCACGTCTGGAGACGGATGAATTACCCAAAGCAAATTCACCCGGCAGGTAGTACTGAGCATGTGCGACAAGACCTGTTCAACCGATTGAAGCTTAATTTTGAATATTACTGTTTATAACACACAACAGAAAGGAAACACATTTAACAGATATCAACAAAGTTAATGAATGAATGATTATCAATGTCTGAATTAAAATTACATGCAAACATAATTAATATACAAAATTAAGTAAGAACTGCTTCAAATACTAAAATAGAGGCAAGAAATTCCATTCACTAAATCGTACAAGTTTGTCTGTAACCAGGCCTATATATCCATTTTTGAGATATCCTCCACGTAATTAAAAGTAGATATATTTACGTCGCTGTAAACAAATCAGTAAATGATATATTTACGTAAATGAAACAACGCATGCGCAGTCATACTTTAATAAAATAGCATTATCGGTCACGTAAATTTATCGATTCTCTCTAAATGTACGTTAACGCAGAGTTCAACTTTTAGACCCCAAATTAGCATTGACCTTTCGTTGAGGCCCCTTTTTTGGCAAGTTAAATTTATGAATGTACTGTACCATGAATCCACGGTGCACAAAAATTAAATCTTTAAACGTGGACATGTTTATTATAGTCATGTTAAAATACATTAACTTGACACAACAATTTTTCTTGCACAAACAAATGGTTTCTACTCTTTAAAAAGCTATTGAACAACTGTCACGATCGAATCGACGTGTGTAAATGTTTTTGAATGAAAACATTAATGTTATTTAATTTGTGATGATTGATTATTGTATAACAATACAGGTAGGCCTAGAAGAATATCAACTTGATTTTGTGGTATTTGAGTTTTAGCAAGGAAACCTCGTGTAGGCTTAGGCCTTATATTTAGGTCAGGTGTGTTCATTCAACAACTGACTGAGTAAAATGAACATAACATTTCCAGCTCATAATATCACTTTTATTTGAAAAGTTAACACTTTAATAATTTATTTAGTGATTAAACTACATACTGTAGTTACTGTGGTGGACGAGAGTTGCTGGTACCGGGTAACACAGACACGAAGGGACCCTTAGGGGCGGAGAAAGTCATTGATTGACTTCAGCTAGTCCACATATCAAGCGCCCTGAGCATCTTACATTACAGTAGATGGATATGTGCACTATATAAAACTACACTATTATTATTATTATTATTATACTGTGCTGTTGTAGAAAATTAAATTACCTTTAATAAAAAATAAAAAACAAAATTATAAATTAATGCCGTGGTGAACTTGGGGGAATCACCGCAGGTTAAGAGGCCACGCTAATGTTGAAATGCAAGTTTATTAAAGTATGACTGCGCATGCATTATTATTTAATGTAAATATATCGTTTACTGATTTGTTTACAGCGACGTAAATATATCCACTTCCTAATTAAAAACATTACAGTATGGGCTAGGTCTAGGAGGAAGCCTAGCTTCGCTATGTAGTAGAAGCTAGGCCTAGACTTAATGAGGCTAAATTTGCCAAGCCTTGCACTTGTTAATCGGTCTAATCCAATAACTAGGTTAGCCCGTGGCTAGCGACATAATTAGGCCTAGGCATAGCTAGGCTAGCTAGCACTCTAGCCCTAGGAGGGGGCCTAGCCTAGCCTAGGCCTAGCTAGCTAGGCCTAGAGGCTCACACCCGATTTCTTTCTTTAAAAACTCGCTAGTAATAATGTCGAATAACTTCGATACATACTATTTACATGTAATGATTCTCTCCTGATGCTTTAGCAATAATGTGCCCAGCATATATTGTACTAAATAAATAATCTCTATTCTATAAAGTACAAGGTCACCACTTTCTGTTTCTTTCAGGATATTGTTTTCATTTCCATACAACACATAAGTTCCCTTGTGACTCGTCGATCTTCGTGTTTTGATGGGTACGTTTGTGATGACGTAATGCAGTCATTCTTAAAATTATTTTGTACAACAGTCAACTTTAAAATTTATTCTATATTAATATTAGTATTTAAGCAGCAAAATAATAACTTAAACAAAAAATTATAATTTAAATTATTAATGCTTTTAAATTAAAAGACAAAAAACAACATATTCATAAAAATTGTTACTCTGATCTTTCGGACTCGCAGAAGTAAAGGTCATTTTCCGAATTAAAATGGCTGCGCCCAGTGTTTTGTAGTTTTATTATATTTTTAGGTTAGTTATGTGTATCTGGATTAATTGAAAACGTTTAATATTATAGTATATTTATAGATATATAGGTGCAATACAGGATATGTTTTCGTTAAAGATCTATAACGTTTTGCAAAGCTAGGCCTAGGCCTTCCCGTAGTTTAGGCTAGGCTAGGCTCCCATTTGTTAAGAAACGGGAGAATACTTTACTCAACTCAGGGAGTTGTTATTTGAACTCCCTGGTTATAGTAACAACTCCCTGCTACTAGTTAGTGGTGCACGTGTTGGTTTAGTTGATAATATGTTAATGTCTTTCAATGAAAGAAATAAAAAACAAACTAGCCTAAATCCTTTCCGAACCACTGGGGCTCAAGTGTTGGAGCTTATCCACAGTTTCTGTAGTGTGAAACAAGGACTAGGGCCTAGTGTCCTTGGACGGGACACTAGTCCGTCGCAGGTTAGTCCCCAGCAGTTTGCTGGTACCCATTGATACAAATGTAGCTAAAGTGCCTTGCCCAAGGACACAAGCGAATCTGCACAGCGGAGACTCCGACCTTACGATTGAAAGCCCAAATGTCAACCGCTGCGCCAAACTGCCACTTCAATGAAAGAAGGCTAATGTTAATTATAATATATTCTGTATTAGCAAACTTTTAGTCATTTATACTAATAATATTATTACCTGAAAAAAATATTTTGTATCTCAATTTATACATATTTTATATATTGTACAGTATTTTTTTTATATATTTGAAATAAAAGTGATCTTGAAAACAAATTCGTTAACATTTATTTCCTCCATTGACATGCGTTACAATAAATAGAGAATGAAAAAAGAATAAGTTATGAAAACATAAAAAAAGGCTCGGTCCCGAGAAGAAAAATCTTGTGTTGGGCAAGCCTGAAGAAAACCATTGGATATTTATAACTAAATTAATAATACTGTATATACATAAGAATAGGAACAATAAACATTCATCATAAAAATATAAAAAAAACTAAAATCTGTATAATTAAATTACATAAGAAAAGTAAGTCATAACTTTAATGATCGAAGTAAATAAAATGTGAAACACAAATAAATAAGTAATCACATGTCTATGATTATAGCAGCACACATCGAGAGACGACCGATATTCTAAATCATAGGCCTAGTAATTTGAAAATAAGTGATTTTTAAGCTTTGAGGAAAATGATTTTAAAAAACGGAATTTATGATTGTGGGTGGTATAATGTTAATGAAAGAGGGACCTGAGTAGGCCTATCTTAATACAGTATTGTGTCGAAAGCAGTTTGTATTAGGAATGGGTAGGCCTAAATAAATTCTAGTTGATCGTGTACAATAATTGTGAATAGTGTGATTGTGAATAAATATATCGTGAAGAAGAGTGTGCGCATGCAGAATACATAATGAGCCTTGGAATAAATTTCTTTGAGTAGGTTTAAGTTTGAGAATAGAGGGGATGAATGTGACCATGGTAGAGAGCCAGATAAAATAATAATGCATTGACCCAAACAACGTTGCAATAGCTAAATTTAAGGAAGGATGAAGGAACAACAGGGAATACTGTGGGCCTACGAAGAATATTGAGAGCCGGTAAAAATGTAGATAACCTGTAAATGATGCCTAGGCGAAGATTTTGATTTTTCGAGTTCGTTACGACGTGGGTTTTCCATGACAAACAACTGTCAATTTGTACTACAACAAGGAATTTTGCGGATTTAACAGAGGGTATTTCGTGGCCATCTATTTGGATCATATAGGCTGAAGTGTCAATAGTTATTAGTTTGTGGGGTTCCAAACAAGATGAAGCTACATTTATTATGATTTAGTGCTCAGTTTGTTTGCAGCGAAGTATTGTGGCATGCGAATGAGATTAAAATTAACAGTATCAAATAACGTTTGGATATTATACTTGGTACATTTGATACAGTTAGAAAGATAAATTTTGAAAAGGCTATGCGCAGGTCCGCAGATTCCATAGTGGGATAAATTATATAAAAGAATGCTGTGGTCAATGGTGTGGAAAAGCCTTAGAAAGATCAATAAAAATGCC